CCCCCTTCCTTTTTGATGAATTCTCTTCTGCACTTGAATGGATCATTCAAACTAAACTTAATATCCCAAAGGTTATCCATATACTAGATGATTTCTTTTTTGCTACCTCCCCTCCCAGATCAAAATGCATGACTGCTCTATGCCAAATTTTGCACCTTTTCACAGATCTAAATATCCCCATAGCTCCTGGGAAAACCTTCCCTGCATGCACATGCCTTGAATTTATGGGTATCCTACTAGATTCCAATAAAATGGAAGCCCGTCTCCCGGTGGATAAACTCACCCGCATTCAGGAAGCCCTTGGTCAGTGGACTACTAGGAAATCTGCTACCCTACAGGAGCTACAGTCTCTGATTGGCACCCTTCAATTTGCTTGTAAGGTTATTGCCCCTGGCCGCCCCTTCTTGCAACGCATTATCCACCTTACAAAGGGTATCAAGTTCCCCCATTGGCATATTCACTTCAATTCCGGTTTCCGTAAGGACATTTCTATGTGGCAGCATTTTCTCCAAAATTGGAATGGGGTGTCTCTCTTTTTAGATACCCAGGCCACCTCTCCGCCGGAGCTTCAGCTATACACTGATGCTTCTGGTTCCCTTGGGTATGGGGGTTTCTTAGCAGGGGAATGGTTCCAGGGCCACTGGCTCCCCCACCACACCCTCAGCCAAAAAAGGGGTATTAGTATTTAATGGCAGGAGCTATTTCCCATATACTTGGCCTGTATTTTATGGGGGCCCTGCTGGTCTGGCAAAAGAATCTGCATGTGGTGTGCCAACAAGTCAGTGGTGGCTAGCATAAACTCTAAACACTCCAAGTCCCCCCGGGTAATGGACCTTATTCAAGCAATCACACTTCAAACGCTCCAATATAACTTCGCATTCACAGCTACTCACATCCCGGGCTTAGACAATTCTATCGCTGATTCCCTTTCCCGTTTTCAGATGGACCGCTTCCGTACCCTGGCACCCTCAGCCTCTCCCACAGCCTCCACCATCCCTCCATCAGCGATGAACATCTGAGAGGTTCTGTACAGCGATACCTTCATGCTTCCCTTGCCCCTTCCACTCGACGCACCTATGAAGTTGGCGTTAAGCACTTCCTCACCTTTACACTCATGCATGGTTTAGTAGGCCTCTCAAACCCCCTCCTACCAGCCTCAGAGATAACCCTGATGTATTTTGCATCTCATTTAGCCAATACAGTCTCCTATGAAACAGTCAAGCTGTACTTGGTGGCAGTGCAGGACCTTCATCGGGAGCTTAACTTTCCTCTTAAGCTCAATGACATGCATAGGTTACAAAAGGTCCTGACAGGCATTAAGCGCCTCACTCCTACCAAGCGGCTTGACCGTTTTCCCATTACCCTCACAGTTCTCCATTCCATTCACTCCTACCTTAAGCCCGAACTTTCCTATAACCTGGACCATGTTATGCTTTGGGCGGCCTTCACCCTTGCCTTTTTTGGGTTTTTACGATCCAGTGAATTCACTTGCAATGGCCCCTTCGACCCCTCTGTCCACCTCACCTCCAAGGACATCACACTGGTACCCAACTCCCACTCACCCAGCCACATGCTAGTCCACATCAAACAATCCAAAACTGACCCCTTCAGACAGGGCCACACAATCACCATTGCAAAGTCCTCGTCACCTATCTGTTCGGTGATGGCCATGAAAGACTATCTCCTTCAAGTCCAGCCACCATCAAGCCACCCTCTGTTCGCTTTCGTCCAACCCAGACAATGGCTTACACGGAACAATCTCACAACAGAGCTTAGGTCAATTCTTCACCTCTGTGGCCTCCCTGCCAACAATTTCTACTCCCACAGTTTCCGTATTGGAGCCGCCACCACAGCAGCCAAAGCTGGTCTTCCACCCTGGCTTATTAAAGTTCTAGGCCGCTGGAGCTCAGACTGTTATGAACGCTATATAAGGACCCCTAAATGTACCATTTTAGAAGTACCTAGACTCTTAGCTAATACTAGTCCATAACTAACTTCAGGACAGCCAGTGTTGTCTTCAACTTTCGTCAGATCACTTGCAAAGTCTCATAGGAGCAGAAGGTATGGCTCCCTCTTCTTGCCGGAGCCCAACTTTATTCCCCTTCTACTGTGGGGGGATTGTGTCCCCTGTCTCCCCATGCTCCACAATCCGTGGCAGAGAAGTGCAACCCCTGGCTGCACTTTACCCCACAGTAAGGCTTCGCCCTTGGAGACAGGTCCGGAAAAATATCCACTCCAGGGTGTGGACCCCCGGTCCCACCTGATCTGTACTCCACCCAGGAGGGCCACCCCTCCTGGTTCCCCTCAGTTCCTGTACTGGGGGATATGGGCCTCACCCCCGGAGACTGATCAGGACTCCTGTCCAGGGTGGCTACCCCCGGTACCACTCGATCCTGTCTTCCCCCAGGAGGGCTTCTCTCCTGGTCCCCTTATCCCTAGATTTAAGCGCTTCCCTGCCACCAGAATTTTGCCCATTACCCTTTGTGTGTTTTCTATGTGGTACTGACATAAGCATTTATGCGGAAAAAAACATTGCCAATTGGAAGAGTTTATTAACTCTCCATTTTATTATCAGAGTTTAAACTTTCATTGAAGCACGTTGTATTCTGAACTCCTTTGTGGATACCTGTGCAAAGCAATATTCAATAACCGATAATAACTCATGAATTTGAGCAGGGCTGTCGTATTAAATAGCCCTCAATCAGTTATTATTGCTAGTTACTGCTAATGAAGATGTCTTGCAACTCAAAACAAAGGACGACATGAAATCTTTAATGTTCATTTAAGGTATAATAATCGTATAATCGCATAATCGTAACCTATGAAGGATCAGAATGACTGTGAAGTATACTCAAGGCTGAGCTCTAAGGAAAATTGAGAAAAGCCCAGTGCTCTCAACCTGTAAAATCCTGTGACTTGAATGAAAAAACTGAGATTTTCTAGGACCCCTAAAGCAAAAGTTGGGTGCCAGGAGCCACCGAGCTCTACTAGAGCTCAACCATGAATATGAACAGAGAAACTATTATTCCTGTTTATACACGCCCAATCTGGGCAATCAACTGGCTTTTCCTGTGCCGTGAGTCCTTCACCGTGAACTCTCTTCAGAAGGCACTCCTTTATGTACTTGCTGTATTGTTTATAATGAAATAAACCAACTGCTTCTTTCTTTTCTGGAGTTTTCTACTCTCCCATGCAAGCTCTTTGACCATGAACTTGCCTTCCACATCACTCTCTTCAGAGGACATATAAACCTCTGATAAAATTTCTGCCATCTGCGCCTTTGTGCTGGTTGCCCATGTTGTTTTCTCCAGGGCCAGGGTTCTCTGAGTTAGCTTCTGCAATATCAACAAACAATAGCGCGAATGAATGAGCCACTACACGTTTAAAATACTTTTACTTCTAACAGCTTTGTAGGATTACTGATCACCATGGTACAGGTCTTGAAACAAGGAGTTAATTTTTGGCTGTGACCTTTACTTTAGACATGCTGCTGGCAAAGCTAGCATGACCATTAAACAGATTTTCTACCTGAAAATTTATGGCCTTGTTAATTCAGGAGACTGAATAAAGGAATGAAATTAAAAATTAATGAACAAATGAGATTTGAGATTTGGTATGCCGTGATAGCCAAAGCTGTAAGTTAATTTGAGTCTGGAAAGTATATACAATGCTTCTTAAAAGGCTTGCTGTAAAATGTAAGTTATACGGAATCAAAAAGGAGACAGAGAATAACAAATCATCTTGCACCTTCCCTCCTTATCCGGCGAGATAAGTTTTGAAATACACATTTCCAATGTTTGTTGACATGATGGTCACCCATGAAGATTATGCTATTACAGAGGAAAGAAACAAATCTTATTGGCCCCCTTTGCACTCTTTCTTCTTTCACTCAACAGATGCAAAACTTTACAGCATACACCCCCTCCCCTCCTCATACCCAAATCTAATTGTTTTATGAGTAAAGAGTGTTTACTAAAATCTCACCTCTCTTCCTCTTCCTTGTCGCCCGCACGTTCTTTCAAGTTCCTCGTACTTTCCAGCCTTTTTTTGTACTCTGTTTTGTAAGAGGTCGAAAAGTAACGCTTAAATGCCTCTGTATTAGAAAGAAAAATGGAGACCATTAGAGCAGAAAGTAGAGTAAATAGGATAACTGCACCAGATTAATACTGCCTAAAGGGGAAAAGGTAGTTATACAACTGTTTTCCCTTTGACAACTTGCAACTAGCCTCGCGCTAGTGAACTATGTTCTTCACTTGCCCGATGGGCAAATGAGTTAATAAGCCACATTTTAGAAAGAGAACATTGAAGACAGAGTTAACTATTGGAATCAAACGTTTTAAATTGTTATCTAAAGATAACGATGGCTGATTTGCATAAAATAGATCTTAAAATGAAGGAATAACGTTTCAAATAACTTACCTCCTAAATTTCCCAACAAGGGCAGGGCCAAGTCCCTCACTCCCCCTCCCCAGAAAAGTGTGCCTCTGGTGCATATGTTTTGCCTTACCGGCTATGAATGGTTCCTTACCTGGTAACCAGTGAAAAATATTGGACTTTTTACTGACTGGGTCTTAGGATTACAGTATTACTAAAAATGCGAAATTCACTAACTTTTTCAGTCTTCAAAAAAAGAGAACCCTTGTGGTAAGTCTCCGGTCACATTAGCCACATTCTATCTCCAGTTTCTCAAAGGAATAACCACCAATATGAACGACAATGTAGAATGGTTTTGAAGTTTAGAGTAAAGACACAATAGCCCAATACCCAAAAATGTTCAAAGTACTAGTAAACCTTACCCTCGATTTGAGCTGTCAACCAACGTAGTGGTATGTATCTCTCTCGTGTAACTCTTATAACAACTTGTAAGTTACGTGGTAAGTCCACATTTAAAGAAAAAAAAGGTGCAAAATAAAACAAAACTTCAGGGAACAATTTAATTTTATTGCTTTTTCAGATGTATTTACTCACAATATGGGACTATGACCAAAAATATGTCATTCCTTGCACTTGACAAACTGATCATATTTAAAATGCTGCAAAAGCTCCAAGCTCATTCCCAGGGTTCTCTCCTACCCGTCCCTGTGAAGCAAGAGAGAGAGAGACCCTGGTTGGGTCTGGTCAAGTGTGTTACACCGCAAAATGTAACAATTGACGCAAAATGTAAAATTAACCCGAAATGTAACAACTTTGGCGCAAAATGTAACAACTTTTTTATGCAAAATGAAACAATATTTTTAACGCGAAATGTAACAAGCAAAATGTTACAGCCTTGAAATAACTGATAGACTTGGACATGAACCTTGTAGATAAAGTGTAAATTGTCTGGTGGTTACAAAAACTGTTTATTTGTAAAGTTTTCTTATAATGTCAAATAAACTAACAAAACGTTTTTCGATAATAGTAACTAAATCCTGAGACAGTCGAAGGAATTGTTGTTTAGTATATCTTTCTGTACCTATGTGTGAGGCTGTAAAGAAAGTTGGCGGGATGTATTAGATGGGTTAGGATGGTGCATTTGTAGCATACTCCCTCTAGGGAGTTGAGCCCGTATGAAATAGAGGCAAGTATCGATTACTGATCATTCTTTCACACTTTCATCGAGTAAAGACGCTTTGTTTTTATCCGACGCTCCCATTCCAGTTGAACAACAAAATGGGGGATTCAGCTATCAGCAATGTGAGTAAAGAAGCAGCTTTTCAGGCTTTCAAGGCTGAGTTTGTGTGAAACAGGCAAGTAAAAAGATCGTTTTTGCTAAATCTAAATCACTTATTAGATTAGGGAATCGTTTATTTTAAACATTGAGACTCCAAGTGCCTGATTCATTTGTTTAAGGCGTTTGCACTCAAGCCTGGGGAAACGCCGGATCAAGCCCAGCATAGGCTATACAGACGCCTCTGGGCACTTCTGTGGGTAAGTTCGTTTGTGTTTTAACGCTTTCTTGTGATGTATTTGCGACTGTCTTGATCATTATTTGTTCTCCCAACATAATAGTGTTGAGACGGAGTATCTTCCAGACAGGATTGTATTGCCCTGTATTTTTGCAGTATATTTGTCTCCCAAGTTTCATGCAACTTTCGAAAAAATAAAATCGGAGACTATTAAAACTCTTCTTCCCAATGTGAAATTCTTCCCAAACTCTTTTATTTCAAGTACCTAGATTATTTTGTGACGGCTGAACTGATTAGGTACATTAAAACTAACACCAGCCATACAATGATTTTCTTTTCAATGCAGTTTGGAAGTGGCAAGAAGCTGAGGGCAGTTGTGGGATGCCAGCCCACTTATGTTTATCCTCCCTCTCTGAAGAAGGTTGCGAGGGAAATAACCTCTGGTGATCGGCTGGTGGATACTCCAGATCCCACACATGTAGGGGTAACTATAGTTTCCTAGTATAGGGGATGGATTTTTGTTTATTATTTACAAACTAAATCCAAAAGATAATAATGGCCGCTTGAAATGTAACATCCCAGCTACATTGAGCCCTTTTGCTCATTTGCCACCAACTGTGGGAGCACTGAGGGGAGAGGGGGAAACAGGGAGAGTTGACCTCTGAACAAGATTGCGATATCAATACTTTTTCCACTGAAATAGCCAACATGGCATAGATTTCATTTTGATTTATTTTTTTCCAGGTTTACAAGGTGAACATTGGTGACCTGGCCAAAGCTAAATGGCCTTCTGCAAAAAAGGACAAGAAAAATAACTAGAATAGAGTATTATTATCTGACATTTGAATAACGTAGTAATAATCATCGCGAATTTTTTTTTTATTAAAATCAACAGTGAACAAGTATTAAATAATTCTCAAGGTATTTCAATATGGGAAAAATTTAAAACACTATTTTGTTCTGAAACTCACCAGAACAGGATCTTTATATACAGAAATAGTTTCTATTTAGAAAACTGTGCATTCATGGAGATTTAGTACCAAATAAATGTTTCAGTTATTTATAATCACTATCAAGAAACGATGTATATCTAATAGATTAT